TACCCAACTCCTCTCACTTTCTATTCACACACCTCAAATTAGGCCCAACCAATCAATGTAGCGATTCTACACTATTCTACCAAATAGAATAAACCAATTAATTTAATTCAATAAATCACATATTTAGATTAAATTAATTAAATCAATTAAATCAATTAACTCATATAAATTAAATAAATCAAATAATCCATTTAAATCAAATAAATCACATAAATCAATTAATTAGTACAAATAATTAATTAATAAAAATTGGGTTGTTACAATTGGCATTGACTCGACAGATCAAGAAAAGACTATTATCACATGCTCATTTGAAGTATTTTCTTATCAAAGGATGCATTTTGGTTTATGCAATGCTCCAACCATATTTCAAAGGTGCATGCTTTCTATCTTTTCTGATATGATTACAAATTATATTAAGATGTTTATGGATTATTTTTTTTGTCTTTGGTTAAACTTTTGATATTTGTCTTGATCATTTAAATGTTGTTTTGAAGAGATGCATTGAAACCTACCTTGTTTTAGATTGGGGAAATTTTCATTTTATGGTAACTGAAGGAATTGTCTTATGACATAAAATGTCTTCAAAAGGCATTGAGGTGGATCGAGCAAAAATTAAAATGATAAAAAATTTCCACATTTATTTAATTTGAAAGGAGTGAGAAGTTTCTTAGGACACGGCAGTTTTTACCAAAGTTTCATAAAGGACTTCTCAGAGATTTATAAACATTTGTGCAATCTCCCTATAAAATAAAATAAGTTTCTGTTTGATAATATATGTTTGGATTCCTTTTCTGCGATTAAAGAAAAGTTGCTCACTACACCTTAAATCACTGCTCCTAATTAGGAATTATCATTTGAGTTGATGTGTGATGCTAGTAATTATGTGTTTGGACCGATACTTGTTCAACAAGAGAAATGTTTCCATGTTATATACTACACTAGCAATGTCTTGAATGAAAAACAAATTAATTATTCCACTATTAAAAAGGATTTATTACCGGTAGTATTTTCTTTTGAAAAATTTAGTTTTTATTTAATTGGTTCCAAAGTTATTATTTTTATAGATCACACAGTACTTAAGTTTCTACTCATAAAGGGGGATTCCAATCCCCAGTTACTGATAAGGATACTTTTGTTGCAAGAGTTCGACCTGAAAATCAAAGATAAAAAGAGAGTTGAAAATATTATTGTTGTCCACCTTTCATGGTTAGCGAACTCTCAAGTTACTAAGAAAGAGAAGAACATAGTAGAGGAGTTCTTAGATGAGCATCTATTTGGAGTAACTGAAAGGTCATGGTTTGCTGATATGGCTAAATTTAATGTCAAGAATATCATTCTAGATGTGCTTACTTGGCAATAGAAAAAGAAGTTCTATAAAGAAGCTAATTTTTATCTTTGGGATGACCCATACTTGTTTAAAGTGAGTCATAAATGTTCGATTCAGAGGTGTGATGTTGGTGAAGAAGCACAAAGTATTATGTTGCACTGCCATACCTTAGCTTATCAAGGTTATCATAGTGAGAATAAACCACCACAAAAATTATCCAATGCGGCTACTGGTGGCCTACTTTATTCAAAAACCGTGTAGAGTTTGTTTAACACTATGATAAAATCCAAAATATGTGGGGGCCATTACGATCGTAGTGTACAATATGACCAGGACATAGAACACTATGAGTGTATGTAAAAACCCTATTTCTTCCTTTTTCAACCACATGTTAAGATAGTACTTGATTCCCTTAACTGTTAGGATATATCCTAGGCGTAAATGCATGAGATTCGGGTTAGAAAGACTAAGGTTACGCATATTGTCAAGTTATCTGACTGTTGCGCCTATTAGATATGGGTGGATGATTGTTGTATAATGTTGGATGTTTTACTGATGTACATGGCCTTAGAGATGGACCCCTATATGAGTGTTACCAAACTTATACAGTGTCACAATATCTTTATAGGATACTAGATACATGAGTTATCATTTCACTCAAATGTGGGATTTATGAGGATCTCAGTCTCGACATATAATTCTCGATGTATGCTCGTGAAACACTGGCAAGAGTTCTCATGAGATAGAGTAGGATGACTAATGATATGTACATCATCCTTGACATTTGAGTATTACCTATGCAGTCCATGAACTACGAGTTACATGGGATGGATACACTCGTGGCTCATTTTCAAATTTAGGGGACCATGCATGGCTTAGGTCTTGTGGATGATAGTGGGATAGACTGAATCCATATTTTATGCTTATGGGAGAGTCTTGAGTGGTGATGAAAATGTGGGTGATATAGGATTTATACAGTTGTAGATACTTTACTTGATTTGTTGGAGTCTTAGTGAGTCATAATACTTAAACACTCAAACTGGGGTTTAAGTAAAATCATTACATCTCTATCGGCTTGGTATGTAATTATCCTAATATCGGTTGGTGAACCACGATGGGTTAGGTATATTATTTTAGTATGCTAATTATGTATGTGAGACTAAATATATGGCCTCAATGAGGTGATTGGAAGGTGTTTAGTCATTACTCATCGTGCGAGATGGATATGAGAAACCTTGATGAACATTTCAAGTAGACCTTGACTCGGGTAAAAGGATAGTGAGATATTCAGTGGTTTAGATATGAAAGCTACTAAGATTAATATCACATCCCACGTTGTTGCATTCTTTTCAGATAAAAAAAATATTCAATTTAGACTCGTAACTGTGAACTTGGCAATGAGGACTCAATGGAGAGTCTTTCTGTTGAGTTGAAAATTTTATTTGATCGTCGTATATTAGTTGTTTTGCTAGTGTAAAATTTTAATGTGATCCACTTTCAAATATTGGCAGTATTCAGTATCAATTGTTGATACCACTAGTTATTATTTTAGACTTGGGGTTACTAAAGTGGTCCATCTTAACAGATGGACTAAGGAACCAATAAGTCAATTATGAAGGAAGATTCCAAATTTGATGGTTTTGGAGGTGGTTGCAAAGGTTAAAGAGGACTATTTTGAATGTCTCTACATAATTGAAGTTCTGATTTCATCTATAATTCATGTATAATTTTTTAAACTCATTGGCTATGAATATTTACATTATAAGTAGCTAAACTCTTATTGATTAGACATTTAAGTAAATTTATTTTGAGTTATTTGAATCGTGTAATTGTTGAGTATAGTTTTGTGAAATTGCAATCATAATATTATTTAGTTAAATTTATGTTTAAAGTCTTCTTGTATGTTGATAAATATATGAACTAAATCCAAGTTGAAATTGATCATTAACCACAACTTTTGAATATCGGTCTAACTTACCTGTTCAATCAACAATTACTTTAAAATGTTGAGTTATTTAATTGTGATGATATAAGAGAGAGTTATGAAGCAAGAAATTGATCATAATTAATTTATTAATTTATTATTATACTAGAGAAGCAATTTTAAAAAATAAATGCAATTAACAAATAGTTAGAAGTAAAGGATTTGATTAAGCCTAGTTATGTTTAATCTTTATCAAATTTAATCTATTTTATTCTTAATTCTAAAAACCAAATTCATATTCAAAATTAGGAGTGGCAAAATAGAGTCGCTCCGTCAGATATATTCATTTTGTCCGTATTATTTTATGAAGTGGAACAAAATTTTAAATTTGCACCCTCTATAATATGTTCATCCTTCCCCATTTTTTTTGGACTTTTGCGAACGTAAATATTAACATAAAATTTGTAATTTTTAAATTTAAAAGATACAATGTCCACGAACCCACTAACCCGTCCCACTAACACTCATTTTTTTTAAGGTGAATAAGGGTTTTATCACTTGAGGACGATTTTGCATGCTGCTTAATTAATCATCAATAAGTTGCCTTAAAAAATTAAATATTTATTTTTAAAATAATTAAATTTAGAATAATGTGAGAGACAAATTATTGTGTATTTGTCAGGTCAAACATATTAAAAAGTACCTTTTTAAAAGTTTTAAATATAAAAGACTTTAAAATATAAATATATATACTAAACATTTGTAGTTTGCAGATTTTAAGATATCTATATAATAATATAATTTTTTAGTTTATATTTAATAATAACAAATTCATCAATTATTTACTTATGTACTGATACATTTTTCTAAAACAAACATTCGTATATGTAATTTTGTTCACAGTAATTTGAAAATTCTGAAATTATGTGTACATGGGTATACTCGTGGAAGATAATGTGCTTCCCAAAACATAATACGCTTCCTAGTCAAATCAAAGATATGAAGTCAAATAAATTATACTCCTTCTGTTTTTCTATTATAAGTCACTTTAGCTAAAATATTTGTACCAAAATATATAGGAAAAAAACTTGAATGTTTGGCAATAGAACAGATAGACAAAACTTAGTATAGCACAAGCAAAAGATTTGGTAGAAATTAAATAATTAATCAAAAGTAAATTTCAAGCAAATTTTCATCCAAAATTATTTGTTGGCCTGAGTCATAGTTAGTCTAATTAAACTAGCTTCTATAGGGCAATCCAATCAACCATCAACATTGATATTTGGAAGGAAAACAATTCTCCATTACCAACATGAGTTTAGAAGTATACACTAAAATATGCATTAGGACTCACCCTTATGAGCCATTACTTCTTCTTAACGATAAAGAATAGCCAGTGTATATTAACTTTGGTTTGGCTTCATGTACCTATCCCTCTAAGGTCAAATGTATAAACATTGTTCTTTTCTTTCCCATCCTCAGCCTCTACGGAACTCAATACTTTAAAAATATCATTATTTTACTATCTATACAACTCATAAGGAACTCTACCAAATCAACCTAGCTCAGTTTTTACCCTTCATTCAACAAACTGATAACCCATTTTACCTTTTCAACAATATTTAAATAAGTATTCAAACATGTGTGTATGTGTGTGTCTATATATAGATATATATAAATACACCATAATGTACCTGCCTTCATAACATTCAAAGTAGTAAGAAGTTAAACATCAAGCAGAACAGAATGGCAAGCTTGGGGGGTTTTGTGTCTGTATTAACCTTTCTCTTGTTCGTCTTTGTTGGTTTAATGTCTTCTTCATCTGAAGCTGCCATACAGAAATATCAGTTTGATGTGAGTTGTGTTTAGATCATATTCAACATGCTTAACTTACTAGCTTGTGACGCAAGGTTCCCTTAAATAGATAGTATTTTGTTCTATGTGCAGGTTCAAGTGAAGAATGTGAGTAGGTTGTGCCATGCAAAACCTATTGTAACTGTGAATGGAAGATTCCCGGGGCCAACTATTTATGCCAGAGAAGGAGATCAAGTGCTTGTTAATGTTACCAATCATGCACAATACAACATGTCGATTCATTGGTACAGCCCGATTTCGAAAATCAATTAAATACATATAATTAAAGTTTTTTACACTAGCAAATATATATGTTTTTTTCCTAACAATATATGATTATTATAGGCATGGACTTAAGCAATATCGTAACGGTTGGGCAGATGGACCAGCTTACATCACTCAGTGTCCGATACAGACCGGAAACAGCTATACTTACCAATTCAACGTTACTGGGCAGAGAGGAACACTATGGTGGCATGCACATATTCTCTGGCTGAGGGCCACTGTCTATGGTGCAATAGTAATTATGCCTAGACTTGGAACACCGTTTCCTTTTCCACAACCTGCTAGAGAATTTGAAATTCTCCTAGGTAAGCATTATAAAGATTCATATGCTAAGATATGAAGTACGAAAGTTGATGTACTAATTATTTGTGCATGCAATAGGTGAATGGTGGAACAATGATGTGGAAGAGATTGAAAACCAAGGGAACAAAATGGGATTGCCACCAAATATGTCAGATGCACATACAATCAATGGAAAACCAGGACCACTATTTCCTTGTTTTGAAAAGCGTAAGTAAAATTAACCAAAGTTTGTTAGTATTATGTAAGGGAATGATAATTAACCAGATTTTAGTTACGGGTTTAAATAGTCTACTAAAGAGGGAAATCTTTGTATGAAGTGCAATTAATTTGCTTCAATTTTTTAGACACATTTGCAATGGAGGTAGAGCAAGGGAAGACATACCTCATCAGAATCATCAACGCTGCACTCAACGATGAGCTTTTCTTTGCTATTGCGGGTCACAACATGACAGTAGTGGAGGTTGATGCTGTTTATACAAAACCATTCACCACTCAGGCTATACTAATTGCTCCTGGTCAAACCACAAACGTTCTGGTTCGTGCCAACCAAGTTGCTGGAAGGTACTTCATGGCTACCAAGGCTTTCATGGATGCTCCAGTTTCAGTTGACAACAAAACTGCTACAGCTATATTTCAATACAAAGACATACCAAACACTGTCCTACCCGTTCTTCCACAGTTGCCAGCTACCAATGACACGGGTTTTGTTTTGAGTTACAACAAAAAATTGAAGAGTTTAAACTCTGCTAAGTACCCTGCAAATGTTCCTCTCAAAGTTGATAGAAACCTCTTTTACACTATTGGTTTAGGGAAGAATTCTTGCCCTACATGCCTTAATGGAACCCGGTTTCTTGCTTCCATAAACAATGTATCTTTTGTGATGCCTCAAATTGCGCTTCTCCAAGCTCACTACTTGGATATCAAGGGTGTTTTCAGAGCTGATTTTCCTGATCATCCTCCAACTCCTTTCAACTATACCGGTGCACCGTTAACAGCCAATCTCGCCTCTTTAACAGGCACAAGAGTAAACAAGATTTCCTTCAATTCTACCGTGGAGCTAGTTTTACAGGATACAAATCTCCTCACAGTTGAATCACATCCATTTCATCTTCATGGATATAACTTTTTTGTTGTTGGAACTGGTATTGGTAATTTTGATCCTGCTAAAGACCCTTCTAAATACAACTTAGTAGATCCTGTAGAAAGGAACACAGTTGGGGTTCCTACAGGTGGTTGGACAGCAATTCGTTTCCGAGCAGACAATCCAGGTACTTCTAAAGTTGTACACGGTTTCTGTAATATTAAGCTTTATGGCATAATATTCTGCTCATGGCATGATATTGTTATAAATATGATTGCACAGGTGTCTGGTTCATGCATTGTCATTTGGAGCTGCACACTGGTTGGGGTTTGAAAACAGCTTTCCTTGTTGAAAATGGACCAGAGCAAAGTCAATCTGTACTCCCACCACCAAAGGACCTTCCATCATGCTAGCCATTGGTTAAAAACTAACCAAAGAAAAGTTGAATTAAACAGTATTCAATGTTTTTAATGTGTTTTTGTCTATTCACCCTTCATGTAAAAGTTGTTTTTAATGTGTTTTTGTCTATTTAATCTTCATGTAAAAGTTGCAGAGGGTTTTTACTTGAGAGAAAAATAAAGGGGAAACAATGTAAGGAAAAATTTCAAGGATTTCTTGTAATTAAATTTCCAAGTAATGATTCTTTATTTCTTTATTGGACCAATATGTCCTGCAAAATACATCCCAATTTTTTCAGCCTATTTATTATTAATCCTTCCTCTTACTAACTAGAATAGTCCGGAATCCGGAATGATCAAAATATACTCAATTTTATTCATGATTAAATGCACTTCATTGTAATATTCTCAACTTTATTCATTATTAACAGTTTTACATTCGGACCGAGGAAGTGCTTGGAATTGTTTCAAGTCTCCGCCCTTTAGTTTAAGCTTAAAAGGTATACAGCTTTTAAAAGAGACACAGGTTTTCCATTGTACACTCTTTCCTGTGTTATTTTCCTATCTGGTTTATAAATTTACTAAGCCTACCAGTAAGGCATTTGTTGAAGACAGATCAGCCAGCAACTAGAACCAGATTATGATCAAACCCAGAAACAGCCTGCAAAATTTGAAAACCTTCTAAGGAATCAAGGTAAAACGGCTCAATTTCGTCAACAGAACTTGACAGTCCGAGTCTACCATTTTTACCAGAGCCCCAGACCCACATATCTCCTTTTGACGTGAGAGCAACCGTATGTGCACGCCCTGCTGAAACCGACACAGGATTCTCCCCGACCAATGTATGAGTCAAGGCAGGAAGGTTGGCAGGCCCTGGCCTTCCAAGCTGAGAACTCTGGTTCCACCCCCATGAAGCAATGTTTGTAGCCCCCACAGTGTCACTACTACCATCTGGTTCATCAAGCTGGCATATTGCCAAAGAATGACCAAGCCCTGCTGCTACAGAAATGGGAGTAAAATTTATCTCAACAGGAAAGAATCCCAAACCTTTTGTAGCTCTCCCCAATTGGCCATACACGTTACTCCCACAACTCAAGAGGACACCATCACCTGATAAGGGTAAACAATACTTGAGAGTTGTAAAACAAATATATGTAAGAATTTGCTAGAAGAATTATTGAGTAAATTACTAACCTAATCCCTAAAATTGTACAGACACTATCAGACTTTTGTACCTGAATTTGAAATTGATAATTGAATTTGAAAACTCTAGTGATAGTGTCCTACAATTTCAGAGACAAAATTGACAAGTCACTAAAATATTATGCAACGTAGATTTGTGTTACGTACGGCAAAGAACTAAAGAGTGATCAAGGCCACAGGCAATATCAACAACTTGAACCTTACGCAATTCTTCCACCAGGCGAGGCTCCCATATTATTGGCATGTTATTCTCCTCCTCCATTCCTTGCAAGACTTTCTTTTCAGCAACTTCTAGGTCTGAACTCGTGATTTGTGCATTGATTGAATGCATGGTTGCAGAGGAATCTAATGAAGATGACTCCAAGTGACCATTTCCCATATTCCCTATCCTTCCATCCGCATAATAGCCCCACCCAAACAACTTACCATCCACGGTTAACGCAAGAGCATGCCCCCAACCAAATGACACCTGTTCAATCAAAGAAATAAAGCTTCTTCATCGAGCATTTGAAAGAGCAGTGTAGGACCAATACTTCATATCAAAGTCAGTGTTTAATAGTAATACATGTTAGAATCAAACACCATCTCGACCCCAAAACATGAGATTGCATTCAATTACTTCAAATCTCACAAATTATTACCCTTGTCGCCATGTCAGTGTCTTGTTGAATAAGCTCTTAATTAAGCAAAAATACCTTTTTTATCTTTTCTCCAGAAAGTGCTTCAACTCTGTGAGGCACAACAGCTTCAATCACATCTTTCCCAAGACCAAGCTGTCCACGTTTGGATTTCCCCCAAACCCAAACAGTACCATCTTCTCCAACCGCAGACGAAACAACTCCAGATGCAAAAGCGTTACACACCTTCACATTTTCAAGTCCCTCTACTCTTTTTGGCTCATTCCATGTTTCTCTGTATTACAATCATTCATAACTTATTAGTTATTACAATTTTTCATTACAAATCAAAGAGCGCACGATAATTAACAAACTGTAGTAATTTTTACCTTACCTTGCGGAAAGTCCACGACCGAGTTGAGCTTCGTTGTTTCTTCCCCAAGCCCAAAGATGGCGTTCAGAAGTGATTGCGAGAGAGTGGTAGTGACCAGCATGGACGCTGAGAATATCAGAAGGTAAAGAAGGAATTGGAGTAGGTTCGTATGCGTCAACTCCCATACCAACACTGGCTGTTGCTAATCCTAAAGCTCCATGGCTTCCATCTCCGAAACTCATCACCGTACTCATACATCTCCGGCGAACAACAACCGCACCGCTTTTTAGATTCAGATTCCTCAACAATACCCGTGATCGCCACATTTCTTTCCACCGTCGTACTGAGAAACCAAACTTTTTTTTTTATTCTATGTAAAATTTCAGTGTATTTTTTATTTTTTGTTTTAACACCGAAATTTTTTTTAACATTGAAATTACTTTACTAATCTTTTGAATTAGCTATAGTATAGTATACATATATAAGTATAGTGTACACGCTAATTACTTTACTAATCTTTTGAAAAATCTTTTCCTTTTTTCTTGAATGTAAGTATTTTTCATCTATTCCATGATGTTCTTCACATTCTATTTCTTTTTTCTTTCTCTCTATTTCAATTATTGCTCATAACTTTGCCGATTTCGTTATCAATTTTGCTAATCTCTGTTATCTTCATCGGAACGAGAATCAAGCACTCGTTCTTGTTTCTTCATCGTTTGATGACAAAAATTATCATACGTGGGCTCGATCGATACAAATCGCGTTAATCTCCAAGATCAAGGATAAGTTCATCGACATAACTCTTCCCAAACCAGTTGTGTCTGATCTTCTTTTGAGATTAGGACATTTATCTCATATAGGTTTACAAGCTATTGCTAAAGTTTTTCCTTTTATTTCATGTAAAACACATATTCTCCTTGTGATTCTTGTCACTTTGCTAAACAAAGAAAACTTTCCTTTTCCAATAACATTACTTGTTGTAATGATTTTTTTGAAATATTACATGCTGACTTGTGAGGCCCCTTTTCCACCACCTCTACACTAGGCTACAAATATTTTCTCACATTGGTAGATGATTTTTCTATATATACCGGGGTGATCTTCCTTAAAACTAAGGATCAAACCAAAGAGAGTCTTATACATTTTATAATTTATGTTAAAAAACAATTTCAGAAATCCCTAAAGTGCTTAAGATCTGATAATGGAACATAATTCCTAGCCTTACATAGTTTCCTGTTGTTTAAGGGTATAATGCACCAAAAAATTTAGGTATATACCCCTCAACAAAATGGGATGGTTAAGAGAAAACATCAACATATCCTTAATGTAGCTAGGTCCTTACATTTTCATTCTAATATACCTTTGAACTTATGGAGTTTTTGTGTTCAACATGCTATCCATATTATCAATAAATTGCCAACATCTTTACTAAAATCTGAATCCCCTAATGAAATCTTATACCAGGAGCCCCTATCTTTAACCCATCTTAAGGTTTTTGGCTGCCTATGATATGCATCCACTTTAATGGCTCATAAAAGCAAGTTTGATCCTAGGGCTAGAAAAGCCATATTCCTTAGTTACAAGGAAGGAACCAAAGGATATATACTTTATGACTTAACTCACCGCAATATTTTTGTGTCAATAAATGTTATCTTTTATGAAAATTTCTTTCCTTTCAAAGATTAGTCCTCTCCTCACACATCTACCCATGATCACTATAGTTCACATCCTGAACCTCTTTATGCCATTACCCCACCTACTGATGATAGACCTTTTCCTTTAGATAATGACTTGTTTATTGTACCTGTTGATGACAGTCTTAATGGTACTACCCCTGGCCCCTCTCAAAACCTTATCTCTTTTAATAGTAGCCCTATTACTCCCCCTATTTGCTCTCAAAACCTTAACGGTACTACTTTTGTTAGTACCACTCCTGAACATGAACTTTCTTTATCCAATAGTCCAACCATGGACCTTATGTTTCATACCATTTCTTTACCCAACAATCTTGATCATGATACCAATATCCTTGATATACCTCTTCAACATATTCCTCAATCCAATCCTCCCTTGAGACATTCAACTAGGATTTCTCATCCTCCTAGCTATCTTTCTGATTATCATTGTTACTCCACTTCTTCTAATTCTTCTCCTTACAAAGTGATTTATCTTTTATCTTTTATTCCTTCTTATAGTCAATGTTCAACTACTTACCAACACTTTTGTTGTTCTATCTCCTCTATTCATGAACCTTCCACTTTCCAACAAGCCAACAAACTTGATTGTTGGAAGCATGATATGAATGTTGAATTGCAGGCTCTTGCAGATAATCATACTTGGACTGTAGTGGACTTACCTCCTGGTAAGGTTCCTATTGGATGTAAATGGGTCTATAAGATCAAATATAAGGCCAACGACTCAATTGAAAGGTATAAAGTTAGGCTTGTTGCAAAGGGTATACCTAAATGGAAGGTATTGATTACTTTGATACATTTTCTCTTGTGGCTAAGATGACCACTGCCAGGGTTCTTTTTTCCATTACTGCTATCAAAGGTTGGCACTTGGAACAATTGGATGTAAGTAATTTCTTCCTTCATGGTAACTTGCATGAGGAAATTTATATGACATTGCCTCCTGGTTTATTTAACTCTAATACTTCACATAATCTATCATTATTCAATTAATGCAACAATAATCTTTTCAATAATCTTTCTCTCTCTTCTTGAATGTAAATGTTTTTCATCTTCTCCATGATGAGTTCTTCCATCATTGACATTTAAAATTTCTACTAAATGATTGAGAAAAAAAGGTGGAAAGCTTTC